TCCAGTCCTCTGGAAAACTATTACTTACTTCCATGAGAAACAAAGAGCAACAGAAGTGAACAAGCCCTTTATCCATCTTTAGGATGCTTGCCTGCTCACCCAAAGATCTCTCCACACCAAGAGGCATTCCTGGAACATTCCTGCTGGCCTTGAAACCAGTTTCAAATGTTTTACATGGAAACTTCCAGTTTCTTGCATCAAGAAAATCCACTCGGAGCTTGATAAAACACAACACTGCTACGACCGCCTCTCCAAATCAAGTGAAGAATTAATTACCATATAATTTGCAATCTTTAAGCCCAGGAAAATACGTCGGGGCTTATCGAGCAAGGGAGGCAGGACAGAACACATTTCTGTAAAAACAACAAAATGTGTTTATCAGGAAACTGGTGTATTGAAAATAAAGGCCTTGAAAGTGAAGGTGGAATTAATCTGCTGAAATGAGATGTGGATGTTGAGAACATGAGCTTTAAGTAGTTGTTTCCTTGGCAATTTCCCCGAGGGTAGAACACTGCTCCAAATCCCTCTTGTTTAATGGGATTAATACCAAGTTAACCAACTTTGTTGTTTAGTCATTAAGTCGTGTCCAACTCTTCGTGACCCCATGGACCAGAGCGCCCCAGGCCCTCCTGTCTTCCACTGCCTCCCAGATTTGGGTCAAATTCATGTTGGTATCTTCAATCACACCATCCAACTATCTTGTCCTCTGTCGTCCCCTTCTCCTCTTGCCCTCACACTTTCCCAACATGAGGGTCTTTTCCAGGGAGGGTCAACCATGGACAGAAACAAAAGGTCAATCAACCGATCCTTCCAAAACTAGACACCGATCACCCCTGGCTCAAATTCTCTTATTTGGAGCTACTTTAATGCACTGGTTCTTAACCTTGGGTTACTCAGGAGTTTTGGACTGCAACTCCCAGAAGCCTCCACCACCAGCTGTCCTGACTGGGGTTTCTGGGAGTTGCAGTTCAAAAGCATCCGAGTAACAAAGGTTAAGAACCACTGCTTTAATGGATCTGGAAGTGACCGGAACCCACTGGGGAGTGTTGACTAGACATCAGGCAGATGATATCAGGCTGAATGCTTCATCTCCACTAAAAAGATCTCAAGCAACTGAGCAAGGAAAGGTCACTGGCTAAGATTCTGGAAGGCCTCTGCCAGTCAGAGTAGACAAAGCTGGGCTAAATGGACCAGGTTCAGCCGAGGGAGAGTGGCACCCATTTAACTTCCACTGCTTATACTGTATTTTTCCGTGTATAAGATGCCCCCATGTATAAGATGCCCCTCACTTTTAAAATCCAAAATTAAGAAATCTAAGCAGGGCTTAGCAAGTGTAGGGGGAAAGGGATCAAAGCCCTGCAGGATCACTTTGATCCCTGCTTTCCCCTCCACTTGTTTTTGTTCTCTCCTTAGCTTACTTCTGTGTATAAGACGACCCTTGATTTTTAGTCTAAAGATTTTAGACAAAAGTATAGTCATATACATGGAAAAATACGGTAAGTTCCAAAGGTAATAATAATGAGGAGAGATGACCAGGCAAGCCATCCATGTCTATTCAGAAGCCAGTCTCACAAAGTACAATGAAACTTATTCATCGCAGCTAAGTGAGGAGAGGATTACAGCTTTACTCATGGTGTGTTCAGAATTTCACCAAAGAGCATATTCTACTTGCAGAATTCCTCAAAATAATCTTTGTGTTTAGTAATGGGGCTTTTCCTTTTCCTCCCATCCTGACTATTCTTGCTTTGGTAACTTTCAGAATGGAAAGATCTGACTCTTTGCTGTTGATGGGGAAAAAATGAACCATTTATTGTGAATTATGCTCTTAATGGGGATATTCTGATGCCAAAAGTTTATTTCTGCTTAGGAACACCATAGACCATAGGTGAGAAACCAATGTCCCACCCCTATGTATTTTAGCATTGTTTGTTTGTTTTGTTTATTTATTTATTTAAACTCTGTTTTACCCTACATTTCTCCTTAAAAAGGACCTGAGGTAGCTTATATCATTTTAAAAAAACTATATTTAAAACCCTAAGTATAAAAATATTTTTCAAAAAATCAAACACAAACCACACTAAGAATGGTAAACATAAACCATGAAAAACAGAATCAAAGCAATGAGGCAAAACACTCCATTTAAAAACCCCTCACTGATGGCCAGTCACTCAGGGAAAGTTTGCCTAAAGAGAAAGGTCTTTGTCTGCTTGGGGCAGGACAACAAAAATGGGGCCAGTCGGGCCTCCAGTGGCAGGGAGTTCCAGAGTCTAGGAGCAGCTACAGAAAAGGACTTCCCCCTTGTCTACACCAAACACACCTGTGAGATGGTGAGACCGAGAAAAGGGCCTCCCATGATGATCCTGACACCTGGGCAGGCTCATATAAGGAGATATGGCTCTTGAGATAACTTGGGCCCAAGCCATTTAGGGCTTTATAGGCTAGAAGTAACACCTTGAATTCTTAGTGGAAATAGATTGGCCGTCGGTGGAGCTGTTGTCACAGGAGGTTACGTTATCCTTGTGACCAGCCCCAGTTGGCTGCCATGTTTTTTTAATGGCAACGAACTGTGGGAGTCGTAGTGCCAAAGATCTGGAGGGCAGACGGTGCTCAGCCCTTGCTTATCTCCATTCTCAAAATGCTGTGTTTTTTTTGTATAGCCAGAATAATATCTGAAAAGTAAGATCATATCTCCCGTCGGTCTTCTTTTCTCGAAAGAAAAAAAGCATGAGTTACTATGCTAAACAACAGGATTTCATCGGTCTTCTTTTCTCGAAAGAAAAAAGTACGAGTTACTATGCTAAACAAAAGGATTTCAGCCACTGCATCAGAATTAGTTTTGTTCTCTTCAGAATTTATTGGTATTCCCTGAGGAATATTGATCGATAAGAGAGACATTGTGAGAGGTGGCAGAGCGAGTGAGCAGGCCAAGAATTTTATAAACACAGAGAGGTCAGAGAGTTACCTGTAAAGTCTTTCTTAATCTTCTCTAACTCACAAAAACATTCATTAAAAAGATGGTAATTTGCTCTAGATAATTATTTTTAAGTTATGCAAGTTTCAGTGAATAGTTTTGTGCAATCCACAATAGGACCAGTTAGGACTACTGCAATTCCCCCCCCCCCTGAATTAATTTATTTCATCTTTCTCCCAATAAAGGGACTCAAGACAGTTTACATAACAACCTTCAGTTCAGTTCCTGATTTCCCAAGCTTTTCTAGATCATGCAAACCCAAACTTCATATATTTATCAGGAAGAATTCCAATCGCCATGTGACCAAGAATGTTAAAAAAACCCAGGGGATCCAGCTCAGTGAAAAGAGCAGGGCTGACCCACAATATTTTGCTGCCTGAGGGGAGGACAGGCTGCGTTCTCCATGTTTCAAGGGCTAAATGACTGGTGATTCAAAGTGCAAGTTCTGAACTCCAGAAAACCCGACATTAGAGCTGCTATCATCTTGTGTTTTAGATACATGATTTAGGCAGGCCTACATAACTGAGCAATCCATGCTTGCAAACAGGCACTGTGTTGGCCCTTCCAACGACCGATCACAAAACAAAGCAAGCACATTTGCAAAGTATGGGAGGTGAGAGAAAAGCTCCTGCTATTAACAATCATCACACGTACTCACAATCCTCAAGGACTTAATCTCTTGCAATGACAGGTGATCTGTAACTTTGGCCAAAATCCTGTGTCTGCGAAGTTACATTGTAGAGGCAAAAGATCCAGAACTGGCAAGACCACTAATTAATTTTAATTAATTAATTCTGAAATGAAAATTTTCCGTCCTCCTGTTTAAGGTTCTAAGGCTCCTTAGGGTTCCATTTTGACAGACGGAAGCATTTGGGGGGCTTGAACCAGGGGCAGGGGAGACTTTAATAGCCAAAAATTACCACCAGGTCACTGTAGGCTAACTGCCGAAGAAATGATGCTCTTCAATTGTGGTGCTGGAGGAGACTCTTGAGAGTCTCCTGGACTGCAAAGAGATCAAACCTATCCGTTTTGAAGGAAATCAACCCTGAGTGCTCACTGGAAGGACAGATCCTGGCTCTGAGGCTGAGAATACTTTGGCCATCTCATGAGAAGACTCCCTGGAAAAGACCCTGATGTTGGGAAAGTGTGAGGGCAAGAGGAGAAGGGGACGGCAGAGGACGAGATGGTTGGACAGTGTCATCGAAGCTACCAACATGAATTTGACCCAACTCCGGGAGACAGTGGAAGACAAGAGGGCCTGGAATGCTCTGGCCCATGGGGTCACAAAGAGTCGGACACGACTTAATGACTAAACAACAACACTGTAGGTGGTCCCATGGAACTCAAAGTCAGTGGGCTGGCTTATGGCATGAAGGGCAGGCTCCCTCGACAACAGAGTCCTGTCCTACAAAACAAGGAGTCGTCAAGGGCCCTGCTACCTCCATACCACTCAGGATCTGCCACTTGAGTTGGGTGCCTCATTCTGCCTAAGGGTACAGCTAACCAAAGACCTTTTTCTGATCCTAAAATGAACATGTGGAATAGTGTTGACTCCAGGATTTCAGGAGCTCTTGGGCGAGACAGAAATGTGGCTTCCCTTAGGTTACGCCTGATCTCCATAGATAGTCTGTGCCATCAGTCCCCGGATGGTTTTAGGATTCTCTGGCGCATGCCAGAGGTGGCCTTGTATACGCTATCCTGCATTCTTCCCCAGCCACTCTTTTCATGCCCTAATGAGTTTTTCTGAACACCTTTATATTTCTGAATCCAGATCACACGTTTTGCCCCCAGCGAGCATCAATGAGTCTCACCATGAAAGGGCCAAAGGCAGTCAAGGGATTCATCAGCCCATTTAAACCACAGTTTATTGTTCAGTGGCAAATATCTACGGATTATGTCTAAAAAGAGAAATGTCAAAGCCTGTTCTTTCTTATCAAAGAGAAATGGAAGCATTTTTAGTTCAATTTTTTCACAGGAGAAACATAGGGCCTCCCTCGATCTCTCTCTGTATAATGTATGAAATGCTTACCTCTCTCCAGAGCATGACTGTATGTTAAGACAAGCAGAAAGATGCTGATGGCCACAGTCTTCATTCTTGCTCCCAGCAATTACACTTGCATAAAGGAAAGTGTAGATTAATCCCAGCTTACTTTTTTCAGGCTGCTTTGCAAAAATAGCTGAGCCCCTAACCCTGCTACTTATACCCCTTCAATTTTTCGGATCAATGATTAATTGTTGAGTGGGGGGAACAGGGAAGGTATCCTTGGCCTGGCAGAGATAAAAGTCAGAGGGCTTGTGGCAGGCAAACAGACGTTGGCGGGGGTGCTTATCCACCCCAAACAATATTTGGCTTTAAATATTAACATTGGGAGGCTCTGGCAACCTTTCTTTCTGCCTGTAGAACTCACTGCATAGAAATTGTTGGAGGTTTCGCAACCTCGCATGCTGTCTTTAGCAGGTTTGGCTGGAAGCCCCCTTTCTGGGTTGGGGTGGCTTATCAATCAATCTCTCCAGCACTAACCAATCATGCTTTCCCTGCCTCTGCATTCAAAGAGAGCTCTGCCTCTTTGCTGAGTGCTTTTTCCCTTTTCTGTTGTCTGTTGAAAGCAGTGAATCTGTTAAGTCTGTTGTTGAAAGTAGTCATGTCTGTCAGTTTGCTGTTTGGTCTGATCAATTGTAAGCAATGATACTTTTTATTCTTTTTCTTGCTAACGTCTCAGAACAAGTTATTGAATCTGTAAGTGCCAGTTAATGAGAAATGAGTGGTCTGCTCTGGAGAAGATGAAGCTATTCTGCTCTATGAATCCCTGCACTTCTGCACAACTAGAGGAATTTAACCAGAAATTCAGACCAACATAGGAGAGTATGCCTTTGCTACCGAAAGGAACATTCCCTCCTCTTCCTGGTCTAAAGCCATTGATTAAATCATGAAAGTCTACTGTTCAAACACTTGTTTCTACAGTCCTCCAATATCCTACATGTACTACAGTGAACCAGGAGTTCTTCGACATCACAAGTTTCAGATCCAGCAAAGAAGAGGAAGAGGAAATTGGGAAGAAGGGGAGAGAAGGAACAGGAAGTGTAGATGTAGACCTTTCTTTTTCAATTGAAATAAACTGTTAATTCATTTATTTTCTTGAATAAACCCATTTCCCATGCTGACTGTTACAAGAAGAAAGGATTGAAAAAGGGAGCAGGACAAGTTGAAACTCTGTGAAATAAGAGTTTTCCCAAAGAAAGCACATAGAAAAGAGCCAATTACCCATCCCATGTTCATCCAGACACTCATTTGAATGGGCAGGGAAGAGTCTCTGCGGTTATTTAAAAGAGAGAAAAAAACAAGTAAATCCTAGAATGCAGTCAGTCTAAAAAGTGATGTGTCACCCTCCCTTTGCCATGCGTTGTGGTGTAAGAGTCATTTAATTGGGTGGCTGGGGAATAGTGTCCAGTGATGTAAATCTGAGCCTTTCCTAGGGCTCAACGAGCAGAGTTACCTTAAGAAGTTCTGGCTTTTATTGGAGTTGCCAGTTGACTTTGGCATTCGCTTCCTTTACTATAGCAAGGCAAACCAAGGATTTTTATTCAAATATCAGCATTTTTGACTCCCCAAACATTGAAGCAACCTTCAGTGATTTGGAGGGCACCCTAACTGACCCACGCTTCTCGGGCTGCCCCATATCTGCGCCAGTGATGCACAAACCCGTTTCCTGACAAAAACAGACAACGATTTTTGAAGAGATGGCCATGTTAAGTCAGCTTCAAGGTGTATATAGAAACAATAAAGGCTCGTAGCACCTGTAAAGTAACGTTTGTCGCGTTCGTGGACTGCAATCTGCTCCTTCAGACAGGTGGAATACAACATTGCACCACCATGTTTCTGTGCCATGTGGATCAATGATTAATTGTTGAGTGGCGGGAACTAATTGTTGAGTTAGGAGAACGGAGACCACGGGAAGTGAGATACAGCCGATGGCAACTGTATTCTTAGCGATGGCGATGAACACTTCAAGCACTGATGACATAAACATCCTCACATTTGTTGCTGTCTAGTCGTTTAGTCATGTCCGACTCTTCATGACCCCATGGACCAGAGCACGCCAGGCCCTCCTATCTTCTATTGCCTCCCGGAGCTGGGCCAAATTCATGTTGGTTGCTTCGATGACACTGTCCAACCATCTCGTCCTGTGTCGTCCCCTTCTCCTCTTGCCTTCAAACTTTCCCAACATCAAAGTCTTTTCCAGGGAGTCTTCTTTTCTCATGAGATGGCCAAAGTACTGGAGCCTCAGCTTCAGGATCTGTCCTTCAAGTGAGCACTCAGGGTTGATTTCCTTATCCTCACATTAGGAGCAGGAATTAGCTAATGCAAAACATTTGTCAACTGATCTACAATGGATAAGCTTTAATCTTTGAAGTGCTAAAATAATGAGTTCTCATTTCAGGAGAAAGGAAGTTGTACCGAGGTCAGAGTTTGTCAAAGAAAACAACATCTTGGCTATACACAACACAGTCATGGAAGCCAACATTAAATATACATAGTGAGCTTAAAATGTTCCAGTTTCTTTAGACACACATTGGAATTTATGCATGGGGCCCACGGTATCTGTCTCATTTTCAAGTGTTTTCTTTTTCCTGTAATAGCCACATTGGCAGGATGCCCCGAGATGCTGACATGTTTTGACACTAGTGACATCCCTAAGAATTCCTTCCAGCACCATGAGTTGCACATGAAATATTACTGTATGGTAGACAAGTATCGGAAGGCATGTTTTGCAACAAAGTAAGATGAAGCCCTGGCATCAAGGAACTGTCAGAAATCAAAATAAGCGCCCATTTTGATAGGAAGAAAATTATATGGATAATTTAATAAAATGCCTGGATCCAGAATTTATATTCAGGTGCCACAAATTAATAGCTCTCTACCATTCAGTGTGTGTGCACATGTACGGATCTGGGAAATAAGTTTTATGGGCATTTAGAAAAGCAAAATGTCAGTTATCTTTTATAAAATCATTCTAGCCTTGGGACCTGTTCATCAGTTCAGTGAGCTTGGGAAACAGGATTGCATTTTAAAAATGAAAAAGAAGGAGAAAAGTTGATTATGGCCCAACTTTTTTTTTTTTTGATAGTAATAAGATGCCATCATTTGCTGATTTGTGGAGCTGCAGTGGTGCGTCTCACAAAGGATGGAGCGATCACAAGAGGGTGGGGCATTATGAAGAAAAGCAAAATCGAATCAGATCGTCCATGGTGGCCTTCCATTTTGTGAGTTTTTGCATCATGGTATTTTTCTTTGTGTGGATTTCCAGGCCCATATGAGTGGCGCAGCAGAAACATAAGAAGCCATACTTTTTCCCCCCACTGGGCAAATTCAAAATATTTGGATTCCTCACGCAAAGGACACAATGGCAACCACCACCCAATTCCATAGGAGCTTGAGAGGGCATCTCACCTCAGCATAGGCAATGGGACTGTGTCCTCCACATGGAATTGGGTAGCAGGAAAGTGAGTTTAGAAGGTGAAGGACAGATCATATGACACACCTAAATCTGTTTTACAGCAGAGGGTAGAGACTAGGAGCTCAAGAGGAAATGGCCAGAGAGATGGTGCTACAACCTACCACCACCTTCTGTTGCGAATAGTTGCACATTCTCCTTAATTGTACAGCTGGCCCTACTTATTCTGAGGCAGAGATGGGAAAACATAGTTGTTTGGGGGGTTTTTTTGGACTGCGCTTCCCAGAATTCTATTATTTTCTAAAATAAGCCTATCTGCCATGCTGACTGTTACAAGAAGAAAGGACTGAAAAAGGGAACAGGATGTGGAGAAACTCTGGGTGGTGTACAATAAGAGCAGACTGCTTGGCCCCATTGCTTTTGAAGTAAGAATTAAAGAGGAATGCTTTGTGTCTGGAGAAACTGCAGCCTGAAGAACTTGGGAGTCCTGTTTTATTTCCCTTTCTTTAATTCCCATCAGCAGTAGACAATGGCAATCTCACCAGTGAGCAGAGCAACCTCCTTAGACTGTCACAGGGAAGGGAGTGAGGGAAGGAATTTAAAAGGGCAAAGCAGCTACAGTGGTGCCTCGCTTGACGACATTAAACGTTGTCAAACAAAATTTTAAAAAAACCATTGAATATGCACAGTTCTCTAATTCCTGCTTCAAAGGCCATTGTTAAAGCAGCTACAGTGGTGCCTCGCTTGACGACATTAAATGTTGTCTAATGAAATTAAAAAAAAAACATTGAAAATCGTTCAATGCGTTCTAATGAGCTGAATACCTGCTCGTCCAGCGAAGATCCTCTATATGGTGGATCCATCCTAGAAAACAGCGGGGGGCCATTTTGAAAGCCAGCGGCCATTTTGAAACCCGACGATCAGCTGTTTGTTGATCGTCATAAAGCAAAAAATTGGTTCCCGAAACAGGGAACCGATCAACGTGAAGCGAAAAAATCCAATCTGAACATCGTTTTGTGATTGCTTTTGTGATCTCAAAAACTTCAACGTTAAGCGGCGGGGTAATCTTTCAGCGGGGCACGGCTGTATGGGAATTCTGGGAGTGGTAGTTTAAAAAAATGGTAGTTCACAGGTGAATGGCACCCAAGCACCAACCATCCCAGACGACTCGGAGCTCTTGGCTGTTATGTCCCAAAATCAAAGGATGAGGTATGATCCCTTCCTAGCCTGAGAGACCTGCTGGTGCTTGAAAAGAGGACAAAGGTGGTTGTGTTTTGAAGAATTGCAGCCTGTGAGGAAAAGACTTGCGATGAAGTTCTTGTAAAGAACAATCCCCTTTTTTGCGAAGAAGCCTTGGGCTTAAATGTCTGTATCTGAAGAGAAGTTGGAATTTTGGGAGCTTAAGTGTAGAAGCCTCAGTTCTGGACAAGGAAGGCTGTTGAAGACAAGATGTGCATGCTGGATTAACGAGTACTGTCTCCGATGGCTCCGATTCGTGCTGTATGAGATCCTGAACTTGGAAAGTATGGTCTTTTTTGGTGGCGGCTAGAGATAATTGCTGTCCCATGAGATGCTGTTATTGATGTTATGTCTTGTCAAGTTGCTTCTGACTCATGGCAACCCTATGAATGTGCAATCTCGGAAATGCCCTGCTCGCAACGGCCTGCTCACCTCTTGCAGAATCAAGCCTTATCATAGAATCATCATAGAATAGTCATAGGGTTGGAAAGG